GGGGATGGGCTAAGTGGGTGATGGGTATTAAGGAGGGCACTTGTTATGATGAGCACTGGGTGTTCTATATGTATAAGTGAAGAATCACTAAAACTAATATTACACTATATGTTATTAATTAGAATTTAAATAAAAATTTGAGAAAGAAAAAAAATTACAATGTAGAAAAGGTGCAAAATGCAGAAAGATAAAAATAAACCATCTGTGGTTCTACCCCTTGGAGAGAGGAAAAAAAAAAAGGCCACATTATCTGACCACAGTCCCATCTCCTAGTAGGGTTGCTCTCTTGTCTTACCTGAAGAAGAATATTGTTCCAGGATCACCTTCTTTAGCAGAGTGTTCCACACCCATCACCAAAATATTTGCTGCATCTGTGATTTAAAATAAAGGCATGAAAAGCTACCATCATAAAGTGACTCAAGGTTTACAAGTCACCTATGAACTTTTAATAAAATCCTTATGATCATTCCTTCATATACCATTAAGTGCTCTGTAACATTCTGTCCATTTTTAGGTTTCTGAAAGCATTTAACATATGAAAATGAGAAGACTGTAAGAAATTACTTTCACAAAACATTGGAACACCTGTGACACTATTATTAGTACTATTTAAAACCACTCACTGACACCCATTTTCATTCAGTAATCACTAGTCCAGTTAATAATGATTAAAGTCTTAGTTTTAATACAACTAAGATTCAAGAATTAAACTTTCTAAAATTCTCTTCCTTTAAATACCATTTTGTTAACATAATTTTAATATTCTCAAACTTTTCATTTTGATGAATTTTAAATTATATATAGTGTGAGACAACAGAAAATATACAGAAACAAAGATACTGACCATTTCAAAACATATCTGAGTTCGAAGTTATTCATGAGAAAGAACACTGTAGTCACCTGTAACTATTTAAATATTTGTAACCTTTTAAATATTATTAAATATATATTAATATACATATATTCATCAGCAAGTAGTTGCTTTATATATTAGCATAGTGAATATTTGTTTTAAGTATAAAATATTCTATAACATAAATTATAAATATACACAAATATGTCAACTAACAAATATATTAATGTTAATATGCAAAACCTAAAATTACCTGAACCTAAAATTATGACCAACAAAATTTCAGAGTTCCTAGTAGAGGTTCGGGAATGGGGCGTTCAGATAAAAACCAAATCCTACACCACCTTTTTTGGGTGAGCTCTAACTTCCCTAAGCATGACATCCTACAGAGAGCAAAGTTCACCTATGCAGCCAAGAGCAACATAAATGACATGGAAAAGACCCAGGGCAGCGGGCCTGGCACTAGAAGCTAGCCAGGCTGTAATGCACAGGGTCACCCTGCTGACAGCCTTTGAAATCAGTCAAGGATACGCCTGGAAAATTTTTTATCTTCATGGTTCTGGACATAGCTCTGTTTTTCTCAGTCAATTATGCTTGTTTCTACCATCAAATAGCACAAAGAGTCTGTTCCGATCACCACGGCTGAAAGAGCACAATGACATTTCAAGTGTTTTTTATGGGGTCAATGACTGAAAAATTGTCTATGTAGCAGGGAGGTTTTCAACCTGCTATTTTTGCTACTTTGTGGTAAATTCATGAATTTCCATCACAGTGTTCCAAGTTACTTATTTTTTAATATAAAATAGGCTATTTTTTTCAAGAATCCTTCCTGATACTATCCTAAAATCCTGTTAAGTTTAATTCTCTTTTTTGACATTCCTTATATTTCTCTTTTCGTTAATTTTGTTAGTTTTAAAGTATTGGATTGTACTGGTAAATTTTTCTATAAAGGCTCTCCCTACATTTCTATTAATTGCATGGTTCTTCTGTAACACTAAACAACTTTTTAATGCAACAGAAATGAAGTGTCACAGCCTTGGATCATCCCAAGTCACAGTGATCCTACAAATAAAGCTTAATAAACCATACTGATTTTAATCTGAGAGCTAAGTTCTCTGTAAATACATTTTAATTTCTTATCTTTGCCATTTGTATAAGGAGACTCAACATCATTTTTGTGATACAATCCTTTATTTTTTTTTAAAGATTGATTTTAGAGAGAGAGCACGCACATGAGAGCGTGTGGTGGGGGGGGTACAGAGGGAGAGGGAGAGAGTCCCCAGCAGACTTCCCATTGAGCACGGAGCCCAATACGGGGCTCGATCTCACGACCCTGATCATGACCTGAGCGGAAACCAAGAGCTGGATGCTTAACCAAGTGTGCCACCCAGGTGCCCCTGATATAATCTTTTAAGTAGAAAATGGAAGGTAAACAAATGCATATTTAAGGCATGTCATAGGAAAATTATTTTCTAATACATTTTACCATACTTGGCCCCAGGTCCAAGAAGATGTACCTCTAGGCAAGCTTGTTACTTCAACATATCCATGGGAGGCCAGATCTTGAGAGAGAGTCCCGAGATGATATTCATCTGCAGTTGCAAACGCTGTGCAGTGCATCAGGTCCTGTTTTGGCGAGATTAGCATGACATGAGTTACCAAGAGGTTAAAATGTCTGATGGCTATCACCTTCCAGGACTCCATTTTACAAAGCAAGCTCTTGAGAGTGTTCATTAAATGTCTCAAAGGTTCATACAAGGGATATGATAAGGGTGAAGAGAAAGAAGGAATAGGGAGATGGATTTCAGCCCAATCTGTGAAAGGACTTTCTCCTGCCAGCCACCAAAAGATGTAATGGGCTATTCAGAAAAGAGAGGGGCTCCCCGAGTGGTGGTGTTGCGAGTGCGGATCGAATAAAAGATACAGAGAGGATTAAGGCATCATATGGCCCTGGGTGGAATGATATTTACGGTCTCTCCAAACCTGCGTTTCCATGACTTTTTCAGAGCAACACTATTATTTGAGGCCATTTGTTAATATGTCACTAGCCCTGTACCACAGAGATTAAACCTACAAAGGATGTACAGAACTTTTACTGTGGTTACTACTCAACAAAAAGTTGTGTTTATCTGAGGATGTGTCTGGGTTTCATTAGTGCATGGAGTCTCGTCTGTGTACACACGTGTCCATCTGTGCTGTGTGTGTGCAGCACACAGAGGGTAAGGGACACGGCACAGCACAGTGCTTTTGTCACACTGTAAGTCACAACCCACCAGTGAGGCCTGCTACTGATTTACTTGTCCCAAACTAGCTTTTAAAAAGAATTAAATACAACAAAATAGAAAATATTATAGTACGTCATTCAGAGTACAGGTAAATGTTATTTCATGAAGTATTTTTTTGTCACTTATGCATGTCTAAGTACATATAATGTAAAATGTATTTCTTACTAGGGGATGAAGTCCCATGGACTTCAAAGCTACGGGCAAAGGCTTCATGAGTTCAGTACAGAATCTGAATAGTTTTTAAGAAAAAAATCAGAATGACAAAATACCTACTTATAGGATTGTTGTGAAGTTTAAACAAGCAGATGAATGTCAACTGCTCAGAATCATGGCTAGCACAAATGGTCAATATTTGTGAGATTATAGTTATTACTATTGCATGTACGGGTATGTTTAAACCATGAAAATTTATGAGAGGTGAAAAAGTTTATCACGTAATTTACATCTGAATTTTCATATGTTCATAATTTATATTTCCAATCAGAACGTGGGTCATTCTATGCTTATTTGATACATATGCTGCTTTGGCCCACCACCGGTTAAAATAGGTTTATGAGTCACTGAATCAAAATTTACTCCTAGGAGTTACTCATCTCAACATTAAACCCTTTCCCTTTCTGTTACATTCCTAGTACAAAGTTTCAGAAAAGTCACATATTATATATTAATTCCTTCCCCTCTCCCACATTTGTTACCTAACTCCTGGCCCTGTCTCAGGAAATGGCCTAACTCTGCTTTGCCTTTTCCTTAAATCTGTTATGCCGTTTTAATGTGTGGTTTAAAAAGTAGCAGAGGAATAAACAGAGGACCTGAGGATACACACAAACTGAAAAACCTAAAATCAATCCAATATCCATTCGTCAGCAAAATGATTTTAACTTAATTAGAAAAAAAAAAAGGAAAGTCAGATGAACAGCAATTGCTGTTGAATGTGAGGATACACGAATGTAGGACACCTTTTGCAGGTAGGTATCTGACAAGCTGAGTCCCAGAGTCACTCTGAAGGTATGAACATGCTGATGTACAAACCATATGGATCCATAGAGCAGAGCGTGGATAGGATAGTTACAGAGGAATCAATCACGTGCTTACGGTTTAGAATGCTAGCACTATCTGTTCTTTTAAGGCTCCATGGAGTTAGAAAGAGCTGACAGGACATGTGATTAAGCCGGATGAAAGAGAGGAATTCTGGTAACGGGCATCAGGTATGGCCACAGTGGGCAGGCTCCGCTCTGCAGGAGACCCAACAAATTTACTGAAGCTTGCCAAGCAAAATCACAGTATATTAGTTTGGATGTGAGAATTATTTCTGTGACTACTACAGTTAACATGCTTAGTCTGGGCTGGATGGAGAAGAGCAGGAAGCGCGAAAAGGATAAGAGATGAGGAGAGGGGTGCCTGGGTGGCTCAGTTGGTTAAGCGTCTTGACTCTTGATCTCAGCTCAGGTCTTGATCTCAGCGTCGTGAGTTCAAGCCCCGCACTGGGCTCTAGGCTGAGTGTGGAGCCTAGTAAAAAAAATTAAAAAAAAAAATTGGGGCACCTGGGTGGTTCAGTTGGTGAAGCGTCTGCCTTTGGCTCAGGTCATGATCCCAGAGTCCTGGGATCGAGCCCCCACATAGGGCTCCTTGCTCAGTGGGGGGCCTGCTTCTCCCTCTGCCTCTGCCTGCTGCTCCCCTGCTTGTGCTCTTGCTCTCTGTCAAGTAAGTAAGTAAAATCTTAAAAAAAAAAAAAGGCCCCTTTAAAAAAAATTAAAAAAAAAGAAGAGATGAGGCGATAAGGGGGCCCCAGTCCAAGAACTAGTCCAGTGAATGATCTTTCCATAACTGTACCGAAAGTGGCAGAATCCAACTGTCTCTAGAATCAGAATTGTAAACTCCAACTCAAAAGGTGACCCATCTAGTCTTTTTAAGTTTTGAATTCACCATCAACAACAAATTGAGATTTCACACAAAACCCAGATTTCCACCACCTTTTGATCAAGTGGAAGATCTGGCAATGATCAACTAAGGCGGAGGAGGGGGTCCCAGTTCTCCAGTGCACCCAGGCCCTCCCACTCCCTGCTGTCTCCTGCCTGCTTCACCATCATCTGTTACGGACCAGACTCGTCCGTGCTAAGCAGGTATACTACTCTGCATTCTCAAGGATGGGACAAGGCAAGGCATTCAGTCACTACTTCCGTGAGAAAATATATTCTGAGTCCCAAAGAGATTAAAAATAAATCTTGAGGGTGCCTGGGTGGCTCAGTCGTTAGGCGTCTGCCTTTGGCTCAGGTCATGGTCCTGGGGTTCTGGGATCAAGCCCCACATCATCGGGCTCCCTGCTTGGCGGGAAGCCTGCTTCTCCCTCTCCCACTCCCCCTGCTTGTGTTCCCTCTCTCTCTGTGTCTCTGTCAAATAGATAAATAAAGTCTTTAAAAAAAAATAAATCTTGAAACACAATCTGTTTTTACTTAGCCATTCCAAGGATTTTTGCAGACTTTCTGAAGATTGTCACCTTTCCCTCTCTCACTGTCTCATGTTTGGTTTGGCTCACAGTTCTGGCCAGGGTCACACAGCTTATCTGGCTTGCCACACCACTTTCTGTAACCTCCTTATGCATCTCGGATCTCAGTCTCTCTTTAAACAACTGATGCCTTCTTCTATTAATAAATGATTCACAAAGTTCTTCAGTTTGATTTGTTAGATCTTTTTTTTAGCTTTATATCCTTTATGTTTCAGGATTGTACTCAAATCCATTTGGTAAAGGGAAAGAGAGGCCCATGGAGTATGTTGTATTCACATTCCTCCCCTGCCCCCCCGTTAATGAAACTGTTACATCGTGAGAAGCTTTTGTTTTTATACATGTCTTTTTCCGGGTTTTTATAATGAATCACATATTTATATGTAGAGAGAGCAAATTTCAGGGTTTAGGATAGGGATCAACAACTCGATCTTAAATAAATGAATTATTGTGCCAAATTAACCTAAAATAGTTACTGGATTTAACACCTAAGTTTAGGCCTTTCTATTTTAAAAATGTTAAAAAAATGAAAACAAAACCCTAAAACCCAAAGCCAAGAAAGCGACGGTGTTTCAATATGTGTTTCATTTTTCTAGCCACAGAAAACATGTTCTAGCAGATGGAGCTAGAAATCTATATATGATTCTTGTTTTAGCGCATCACACACTCTGATGGAACACTTTTCTTGAAAAAGGAAGTTTATTTTTATTCACATTCTAGTACTGAAGAAAATTAATGCATTATTGTAATGTTGCTTCTAGATTACGGAAAGAAAAACGCATGTTTTCCCTGTTATGTATAGATCGCAGATAAAAGTTATAAAACACAAATACATTTTACATTACCAGTACAAGGCTTTGCCTTTCAAATTTCTGACCACCTGCCGTGGTGAGAAAGCCTTTTGTATACACAGTACACATAGGCATGTGTGCACACATACCAGTACCTGACACAAAAAATTCACAAAATAGTATTAGCTCTACCACGAGTAATACATTCTGATGCTTTCTAAAAAACCCGCCTAAGAACAGACAACTATTAACAACCCACTAGTTAACTTTGCAGTACACAGTGGGGTGTTCCTCCGAAAACCACGAGCAGGCACCTGGCATCTTCCCTTTTGTGCCCATCCCCATGCTGCTCAGAACAGTGGCTGTCATCCTCCAGCAGGCTCCTCCTGAGAGACAGGACACACCAACAGGAAGCACTGTTGTTGCCCTGATAAACTATGAGCCAATGACACATGGGTTGAGTATCTTAGTAGGTTAATATCTGCAAATGACACCAGGGAAAGATCTGATTCCGGTAGAGAGGGTGATTAACCTCATTCAGTCAATTCTGGGAGCGTGCTGTGTGGCAGAGGAAGAGGGTGAGCTCAGGAGCTTGTGTGGGGATCCAGACAAAGCACACCTGCTCTCTGGTACAAAGCAGAGTCCTTCCTGTCTCAGTCCAGAGGGGGAGAAAGGGCTATACCACCACAAAGGGTTTGCCAGCCCCATGATGCCCATGTGGAAATGGAGTGGCCCTCCACCTGGGGCAGATAAAAGCCAGTCTTTGGCCCTGGGGATAGAGTACCTAGTCACACCTCAAGACTGTGTTCGCCTATGAAAAGTACGATCATCAGAAATAATGTTCCAAGGGGCTCCTGGCTGGCTCAGTGGGAAGAACATGTGATTCTTGATCTCAGAGTCATGAGGTCAAGGCCCACACTGGGTGTAGAGATTACTTAAAAACAAAAATAAATTAATGAATCAACTCCTAACTTCATAATCTGAGGATCAATAGTGAAGATGTATAGGCCTTTCTGGAGGAAGTCAACTATGCAGTAAGAAAAAAACAAAACACAACAACACAAATTAAACACGCTCAGGGTCTACTTCTCAGAATCAAGATTTTAAGACAATCTAACCTGTTTTCTGATAGATTCAGAAGGCCTGATCAAGCTTTAAATATTCTACATTCCCATTTTTAATGTTGATGACCATGGACATCAAAGATCCCTTTGCCTCTCTTCTCTCTTTTCCAATTTAATAAACATTTATTAAGTATAAGGCACCATTCTAGGTATTATGCAACATACAAAAGCTAGCAAAGGGCTTGATCTTGACCTTAAATAGTATTGATCATTTAGAAGGGAAATGCAATGTAGCTGAGAAACTCCCATAAACCTCTTAACAGTGAATAAAAAAGCCCCCTTCAACCCTCAAAGGCTAAAAAAGCAAAAACCTCTCACTTTTCTGATTGTACCTTGCCGTATCATTTCACTACCCGATTCCATACAGTTACCACAGGCTAATGAGTGCTTACCTGTCTACATAGCTACTAAAAAATGATTTTTTTAATTTGATGAATTCCTAGTTTGAATTTTTTTAAATGGGTGTTTTTTTACAGTACCATTCCAACACTGGACTTAATACTAGCCTTCTTCCTGGGCGCCTGGGTGGCTCAGTTGGTTAAGCGATTCGGCTCAGGTCATGATCCTGGAGTCCCAGGATCGAGTCCCGCATCGGGCTCCCTGCTCAGCAGGGAGTCTGCTTCTCCCTCTGACCCTCTTCCCTCTCGTGCTCTCTATCTCTCCTTCTCCCTCTCTCAAATAAATAAATAAATTCTTTAAAAAAAAAAAATACTAGTCTTCTTCCTCTAAGTTTCCTTAAGTCAATAACTAATCTTTTCATAAACTATATTCTTTTATTTAATTGCCTATACTTTGTCTTTATACGTACTATTGATTCTTAAAACTAAGATGTTGATTCCCTGGGGCACTAGGGTGGCTCAGTCGGTTAAGCATCTGACTCTTGATTTTGGCTCAGGTCATGATCTCAGGACTGTGAAATCAAGTCCCACCTTGGGCCACGACCACACATTTTTACCTCATTCACAGACAGAACTGGGAGGTTGGTCCTGGATGGCTGCCTGGTCCTCGATGCTTTCAGTGGTCTCTTGATTTGCGGAAAGTCTTGTTTAGAAACAAGTGTTTCTGTTGATGGAGATGAGTAATGCCGCTCTAATATTTTTATAAACCACTTAGAACCTAATAGATTCGGTTTGTGAGTCACTTTCCTGTGAGTACCAAAAGATTTCCTGGTTGGAAGGTGCACTCTTTCATCTTGGCAATGCACAGCATTTAATGGAAAGAGTATGCTTGTATTTGAGATTTTCTGATTCATTTCCAGGACTGGGGACTTACTCAAACCACCAGCTGCTGTACCAGGAAAGAACAAATCCAAGTTTTGACTTCTCATCATGGTGCTGCATGTTGTAGTCTCAAATTCTTTAAGTGGTTTTAATGTTCGATGAACAAGTTTTTGGCATTGACATACTTCTGATAAAATACAGTGAGATCCGGCCAGGGCTCTGAACAGTCTGGCTGACATTACCACATCCCAATCTAAAAGAAAAAGAATTAGAAGTTCAAGGTGTTTTTGTTTTTACATGTTTTCATATATACACAATATTCTCCTAGATAATAAGCATATTTTAAAAAATTAATTAATTATTATTACTTTTTTAACGTAGTGTTCCATGATTCATTGTTTGGGTATAACACCCAGTGCTCCATGCAATACGTGCCCTCTTTAATACCCATCACCGGGCTAACCCATCCCCCTGCCCCCCTCCCCTCTAAAACCATCAGTTTGTTTCTCAGAGTCCATAGTGTCTCATGGTTCGTCTCCCCCACCGATTTCCCCCCATTCATTTCTCCCTTTCTACTATCTTCTTTCTTTTTTTTAAACATATAATGTATTATTTGTTTCAGAGGTACAGGTCTGTGATTCATCAGTCTTACACAATTCACAGCGCTCACCATAGGTAATAAGCATATTTCTGTAAAAACATTTGCAAAACAAATACACCTTAACCTAAGTCTAGTAAAAGAATGAGGTTAAAATAATAAATACAAATGTAATTACAACCTAGGCTTTTCCAATTCCAAAGATGATACAGTAACCACTGCGCTATATTACCTACCTCTAGAAGGAAGAAGACCAGGGCGAGTCACAGCAATGTTTAGAAGCTACTGCTTTCAAAATATCTCAAAAGCTGGAATTCTGTGTTTAGTTCTAGTCCAACTAGCTAGCTATAGTTCACCTTTAATTAGTACTACTCCTTGCCAGTTGAACCAGAGGGTTTTAAAGAAACTAATTATAAAAAATTTTGGAAATTTGTATACACTGGTTCTCCTATTCTCTTCTAGGAAATTCGTACCTTGAAACTAAAGACTGCCTTCATACAGAAGCCACATAAAGCACTAGGACAAAGAACGCAAAAGCGACAGGACAAACAAGAAGTGTGTTTTCTCTCTGTCTTTGCAGAGAAAGGCGGATGTAGCATTTAAGGTGTTCAACATACACACAAAATTTAGGTTTTGTTAAAAACTGGGGCACATCTCAGGAAAGTTAAATTTTAATTGTACAAACTAAATTTAAAGGTTAAAAGTATATTAGATTGTTAATTACTCTAAAAGCTCTGCATAAGCTTTGTGCATTATCAGCAACTGCAACCTCATATGCTCGGTTTCAAGCGTTCTACTCCAAACTCCATGTCTGGTCTTTCAAACTCACTCCTCTTCCTCAATTCCAGCAGTTCTTCAACCCCAATAGGACCTAACAATTCAATGATCCAAACACCCTTTTAGCGCCCCTCATTCCCCACACCTCACTTTTGCCACGCTCAGTATATATTCTGTGGTCTACCATCTCTCTCTCTCTCCCCCATAGACCTCAAATCCCTTGCATCCCTCTCTCTTCCACGTGCCCATGTCACATCACATCCACCAAAATTAAATACAACTCACCTAATATGGGCCTGCCTCTGAACGTGGCTACAGACAACCAGCCAATCAACCATGCCAGCTGGTCTCACTTTAAAATCATGACCGCTTCCTTCAGGAGCACCTTTCATGCTGCTCAACAACCATAACCTATTTCCCTCTCAGAGTCTACTCTGTGCTCTCTCTTCATACCTCCAATGTCTCCTCTTCCTTTCTCATTCTTAATAATGATCTTGCTTCCTCTTTCGTTGACAATCAGAAGAGAATTTCCACAAGCTCTCACCATGAACCACCTGCCCACCTACTACTTCTGTGCCCGTGTATTTTGTCTTCCCTTCTGCTGCCACAGATGAGCGGCCCGTGGTCTCATCTGGAACCAGGTCCTCCATGTGCACTCCACGTCTCATCCCTTCCTGCCTCTAGTAGGAATGGTTAAACGCTTCTTTTCTCTTTCATGCTGTTTATTTTTCCTTCTTTTCAGCATAAATTTTTTAAAGATTTTATTTATGTACCCCAGAGACAGAGAGAGAGGGCATGAGGAAGTGCAGAGGGAGAGGGACAAGCAGACTCTGTGCTGAGCACAGAGCCCAATGCGGGGCTCGATCTCAGGATCCTGAGATCATGACCTGAGCTGAAAGCAAGAGTTGGATGCTTAACTGACTGAGCCACTCAGGTGAACCTTTCCTGCATATTCTTATTAGCATCTGATTATGCCTTAATTTCTATCTTATAAAAACAACTCTCCCCTGACCCCATTTTTCCTTCCAGACACTATACCTTTTCTCTCAGTTCCTTTCCTTTAAAAGGAGTTTTATTAACTGTCTCTAACTCCTCTGATTTTCTTGAATCCACTTCAGTCAGGCTTTCATCCCTACCACTTCGCCAAAACCCACTTGCCAAGGCCACCAATGACCTCCATATTTCTAAGTCCAACGGTCACTTCTCATCTTCATTTTACCTGACTTATCAGCAACATCAGATTAGTTGATCACCTGGAAGCACCTTCTTCACTTGGCTTCTGGTATTCGACACTGGCCATTTTCCTCCTACTTCATTGGTTGTACCTTCCATCTCTTTTGTGTTTTCCTATCCCCTCAACAATCAAAAGCACCATGGCTCAGTATTTGGGCCACTTTCCTTCTCTATTCTCAGCTCCTTATATGCAACCTACACATTGATGAATAGCAAAAATTTATCCCTAAGTCACTCTGATAAATAGCAAATATTTATTCCTAAACTGCTCTGATAAGCATGAAAAACATAACATGCCCAATACTGAGCTTCTGAAATCTTCCCACAGATGCTATTCTTTCCACAGTCTTCCCCATTCACAAAATAGCAATTATATTCTCATCTTTGCTAAAGGCAAAAACCTACAATCCACCGTGCCTCTTCATTCACCATACCCAATAGGTTAGCAAATCCCACTGGCTTTATCTGCACCCGGTCTCAACTGACACTGCTACCACTCTGGTCCAAGCTGCTGTCTTTCCCATGATTACTGTAATAGCCACCTAACAGGTCTCCCTGTTTCTTTCTTCGCCTCCTACAGATTCTTCTCAACACAGCAGCTAAGGTAATCCTTTGAAGATCTATGTCGGATCACATCTTTCCTCTTGCACCAAATTTGATGCTGGCCTCTCATCTTACTTGAAATAAAAGCCAAAGACCTTAAAATGGATGCATGGTCCTACATTCTCTGGCCCTTTATCTCCACCTCAACATCTCCTACAGCTCTATGCCTTGCTCATTTTGCTCCATTCACTATGGATTTGGGTACTTTTTGTGCTGTTCCTTATGCTCTTCTCCTAAGAATCCGTAAGGCTCATTCCCTCACCTGCCTCAGATCTTTGCTCCAACAGACTTCTACCCAGTGAAGTCTTCTCAAACCACTTCATTTAAAATGCACAACCGACTATCTTCCTCCACTGTGAATTTCTCCATTGCATTGGACATCACTTGAATGCCTTGTATTTCTAATTTGTCAATTCATAACAAAGATGAACTGAGTTCCTACCATGTGCCAGACTTTGTCCTAATTGCTGATAATACACATGAAAATAAAACAGACAAAAATCCTTATCTTTTGAAACTTACATCACATTGGAGATGACAGAGCATAAACTGGGTAAGTCAGTAAAATATATGTTAAGTAGTGACAAAGGTAGGGGCGCCTGGCTGGCTCAGTCGGTGGAGCCCGGGGCTCTTGATCTCCGGGATGTGAGTTTGAGCCCCATGTTGGGTGTAGAGATTATTAAAAATAAATAAATAAATAAATAAATAATTAAAAAAATAGTGACAAAGCTAAAGGAGAAAACAGAAGAGGAAAGAATAGATTTCTCTCTCCCTTCCGCAGAATGTAAGCTTCTTGAGGATAAGATCGGTCTTCCTTCCATGCTGTGTCTTCTGTGATCACAGTGCCCAGTATACAGTAGGTATTTAACTCATATTTTCTAAATGAAATACAAGGCAGCTACTCAGTTACTGGGCACATTTCCTACTTCTTAACAGTAATACCAAATAAGAAAACAGTATCAGCCAGGTTACGATTCAACGGATAACTGGCGCTCATCTTTGGGAGCATGCCTTCCAATTCCTTAAGCGCATTTTTCTTTTTTTTTTTTTTTTTTAAATCTTTGCGGTAAGCGCTATGCGCTGGCTCAAAAAAAGGTTCAGTAAGTGTTTATGGATTGCGTGCTTTTTTACTCCCAGCTACGTCAACCAAAGATCACCGCAGCGGTTCCGGTGAAACCCGTGATCCGAGCGGTTCAGAGTGGCCGGGATCAAAGGTGAGAACCGCTGTGAGCGCCCAAACAAGCTGGGGAGGGAAAGGCAGTGCACTGACCTCTCCGCCGGAAAAGAAGAGGGATGTGCCAAGCGTGCAAGCTTCCGCGACCCGGCTGCAGGTAAGAGACAAGAGCGGTACCCGCACCTCCCGCTTCCTGCAGCCTGCACTGCCGCTCCGGCGACCCTCCCAGAGCCCGCACTGCGCAAGCGCTCAGAACTCCAGGCCGGGCGGGGCGGGAGCCGCCGGGTGCACGTGACTGCCGGACCACGTGACCCGCGTCGCCCCGACCTTTTCCGCTCCCTAGTGTCTGGGACCTCCCGGTCCCTGCTTGCTTCCGCCTCCGCCCGCTTCCTTATTCCGCTGCTCTCGTCGCCCTCCGCTGTCCCCGCCCTCGTCCCCGGAAGATCTCCTCGTCCTCCCGCCGGCCGTTGTTTGTCTCTTCCACGGGAACCAAATAAAGTTTCTTCATTCAAACGCATTTTTTTTTTAACCCATGCCCCTCCCTTTCTCAGCTCCTCCTCGGCGCCGGAACCTCCTCTCTCCCTGCAGTGGATGCGACGCGAGCGTCGGCGCCGGCCCGGAGGCGGTGATGGCTGGGCTTCCGGCGTCTCTCTCGGGGCAGGACGAAGGGTTCGTGTCGCTTTCCTCGCCCAGTCCCTCCGCTGCTCTTCCTCCTCCCGGCTTCTGCGGAAAGCCGGGCCTCGTCGGGAACCTCTGGGTAGCCATCAGGGGAGTTGTGGCGGGTCGGGGGCCCCCGGTCCAGCCGTCGGGCCCCGCTCCCCCGCGAGTCGTCTCGGCCTCCTTCTACGGGCGGGGGGCGAGGCGGCCCGGGGCAGGGGGCGAGCCTGCTGGCTGCGGCTGCCCGCCGGGCTCCGGGCTGCGGACTCGGATCGGCTTCCAGCCTTCTCCCTGACTGCTGGGAGCGGACTGTGCACCCCGCCGAAATCCTCCGGTCACCCGGCTTCTCTCTACTGTCCTTGTTCAGGCCTCTTAGTAGGCTTGTGTTATAATTTATGTCGAACAGTTAACTTGTCTTTCAAGTGATCCGATGCTGCTGTTTTTGTTTTACTCATCACTGTCTTGAGAGTTTATGCCTCCTCTATCCCCTTTCAGGGTGTTACAGCGGCATAGCCACACACACATATATACATATATATTTATTCATTCATTCATTCGCGCGCACTTTTGGAGGGCTAAATTTTTCTGCAAAAGTTAGGAATCTCAGATTTATCGAGAAATATGTTTCTTCCTATTGCCGTTGAGATTAGTTCGTGATCTATCAATGCCTGCAGCTTTTCGCTTTTTACGCGTCATGTCACAGATTTCTAGATAAAAGTTGTGGACGACCATAAAAACTATATATTTATTTGTATAAATTTAATGGCCAAATTTATATTTGAGATATGTCTTGCAAAATATTGCAAAAAAAAAAAAAAAAAGCACGTAGAGGAAATTGACCTTAGCGGGAGTAGATTGAGGCTGGAGAGGCACCAATGGCCCAGAATTTTGAGCAGGCACTCATTCAGTCATGCACAATAGAAGGGAGTGTGTGGAACCTTAAATTTTGAGCTCTAGGTTCCTCTGGCTCTACCTTAGTCCTGACCTTGGTCTTTACCCTCACAAATGCGGGTCTTTGAGGAAACTCTGGGGAGATTTAGTACTGTTGACCCTTACACAAGGTGGGGGTGGATTGAGGTTAAGGGCTCTGGTCCCCCTCCTTACCTCTTCTTTGGAAAATCTGCATGTAACTTCTGACTCCCCCAAAACTTAACTACTGTACTTTGGTGATCTGAAGATATAAATGAACTGATCAGCTAAGTTTTGTGCTCTAAAAATGCACAGAATTTCATCACTTCCTGAAGTCTTTTTTCCTAACTGAATCATGCATTTGCTTAAAAATTAATTATATATAAAATGATAATTTGTAAATCTTGATTTTTGTATGCCTAAAATCCAGAGTACCTTAAATTTTTTTTTTTTTAATTCAAGTATGCTCAAGTTTTTCCTCCAACTTTTTTCATTCTTTAACACTTCTAGAAAGTCTCCTGATTTTTTGGTTGGGAGAGTGTGATGGTATAACATGCCTTAATTTTGTTTTGAGCGCGGAGTAGGATGGATGGGGTCATTGTGCAGGTAGAGAATGCAGGAGAGAAAACCTTTGAAGAGAATTAAAATTGGCTAAGAATATAGACTAAGAGAAAAGAGAAAAGCAGGTTTATAAATATCTTTCATTCTTGATGTTCTAGCACATTAGAGGCTTTCACACAGTGTTACATCCGTTGCCTCATTCATCTAAGTATGTGAAGTCACTTAGTAATAAACCCAGAACAAGAGCCTGTTTGAATTTTAGTATAAATTCTTTGATCCTGATTTCTTTTTTGGATAAATCCTTTTTCTGTCCTATCACATTGTTAAGTTAGTTTCTGATTCAAGAAAATAAAAGGAAGAGAATGGGAAAGATAAGAATCATGGAACAGTCTGAAGAAAAGAAAAGGAAGAGAATGGGAAAGATAAGAATCATGGAACAGTCTCAAGGGGAGAATCTGGGATTTGAAGCACAAAGAACGTTTAGCTTTCATGACATGTAACACCAGAGAAGTTTTCGGATTTTCCTGTCTTGATATAGCAGTCGAACAATGGTGGCTTACTTTGTAATGCTTGTATGAAAAGGAATTTTAATTCAAATGAAACTGGAAGATGGCCAATCTGCTGGTATTAACGCTGAGTAATATACTGTGTATGTGACTCTCTTTTCTAGATCGTTTGCATATCTTACAATTAAAGACAGAATACCACAGATCTTAACCAAGGCTATTGATACATTGCATCGACATAAAAGTGAATTTTTTGAGAAACATGGAGAGGTAATATTGTGTTTTCACCTTAATTTTTTGTTAACTCTTTAACAGAAACACAATAGCAGTTTTCTGTCTTTGGGGTTTTTTTGTTTTTTTTTTTTTTTTACTATTCTTATTTTTTGTATTATGTTATGTTAATCACCATTATATGTTAAAAAAAAAAGAAGAAGAAGAAGTTTTCCATCTTTGGTAAGGATCATTCCTCCCTCCTTGGAGAACTCTGGTTCCTTAGACGAAACTTAAACAAAAAAGGCAGAATAGATAAGACAGGATAATGTGTGTGTTCTTTGATTTTCAACTTAACAATTCTGAATTTCAATGTTTATAATTTGTAAAAGACATAAAATGTAGCTTTGAAATCTAGTATTTTTTTCTTTCTTTAGTTTAGGACCTTAAAAATGTGTTATCCTAGAGGGCTTATTCCTGTATGAATTAACTGTTTACATATATAAATTGTATATTTAAATACAGATTATTCACATATTTTTAAGTATTTAAAAATTTTTTCATGTTTCTGCAGAAAGGCACAGAAGCCGAAAAGAAAGCAATTTCTCTTCTTTCTAAATTACGAAATGAATTGCAAACAGATAAACCAATAATCCCCTTTGTTGAGAAGTTTGTTGATACTGACATATGGAATCAGTACATAGAATATCAGCAGAGTCTTTTAAATGAAAATGATGGAAAACCCAGGTGGTTTTACTCACCTTGGTTGTTTGTAGAATGCTACATGTATCGTAGAATTCATGAAGCAGTTATCCAGAGGTAAGTAAACATTTAGATAAGTAAATGTTTAGATGACTTAATGCTTTTTTGAAATTATAAAATGGTAAGATTAAAAATAAAAACCATTGGAAGCTAGAATTCCATTCAGTAGATATTAATGGCAGTATTGGATGTTTCTGCAGATGTTACTGATACAAGAGATTCTTGGCAATTACAACCTAGTTGCCCAGAATAGATGGAAGATAAACTATCTGAGGGTGCCTGGTTGGCTCAGTCAGTAGAGCACGCGACTCTTGATCTCAGGGTTGTGAGTTCCAACCCCATGTTCGGTATAGAAATTATTAAAAATGAAATATTAAAAAAGATACAGTATCTGAAGTGGGAACTAATTAAAAATTCTTATGAAGACTTTTAGAGTAAAACAAATTGTATTGAGCAAAAAATGTTAATTATTTGAAAAAATTATTTTGGTAAAACAAGACAGGATAAAGCATGTTTTGTTTATAAAAATAGATAATATGTCAGTTAATTTGGGGTGAGGAGTCAACAGAACAGTGAATCACTACAGTGTTTTTTGCACTATCTTAATTTTTAGCTCTTTTTTTTAATGGCTAGAGACAGATTTTAAAAGTTAAATACATATCAAAATCACTTTTTATAAGCTTATTTATACTAATTTAATTTTTCCTAGGAAAAATCTGATACAGAACTGATTTAGAGAGCAGAAGAAAATGTAATGTGGATCATCCTTTTAGGTCACTGGTTACAAAAATACAGGTTTGCTAAATAAGAGGAATTCTTTGGTATCTGTCCCTAAACATAGGAAAGAATAATTAAAAGCAATTGATCAAACCAGCACTAATAGTAAAATAAAAAAATTATTTGGGGAAACAATTTGAGTGTATTCATTAGCTTTTTCTGTTTTAATCTTTAGAAATTATTTTTTAATTAAAAAATGTTTTTTAAGATTTTATTAATTTTGGAGAGAAACAGCACAAGTGTGAGGGGCAGAGGGAGAGGGAGAGAGAGAGAATCTCAAGCAGATGCCATGCTCAGCACGGGCCCAACGTGGGGCTTGATCCCAGGGTCCTGGGATCATGACCTGAGCCGAAACTAAGAGTCAGATACTCAACTGACTGCGCCACCCAGGCGCCCCAGAAATTATTTTTTAAAGCCGCAACTTGCTGTTTTTGCTGAATAAGTGTATTTAATTAAATTAATTGTGTCTCATCCTGCACCCACTGCTGAATAAATGTATTTTAGAACTTTTGCTCTAAAAGCAAAATAAACTATTAAATATCTAGCACATTGGCCTGGCACATGGGAAGCACCTAAGCAAGACGATAGCCAATACTAAGAGCTGTCATGTATTGAACAACAGCTGTGTTCCAGTTACTTTGCAGCCCAGTGAAGTGTAGGTATTATTATGGTTTTGGTTGGGGAAATGGAGGTCCAATGCTGTTAATAAGTTGCCCAGGGTTAACATGGCTAGGAAATGGTGTAGCCAGTACTTGACCCTGGTCTATGTAAGTCAGCTTAGAGCCCTCATTAAACCATCTTTTTCCAAGTAGTAGATTTGGATGTCTGTCAAGGACTAAGGAGAGTCTGAAATTCTGGGTGATGGTTTCATAATTCTGGAAAACATCCATGGTATGAGCCAAAGCTGCTGAAGTATTGAAACACGGGGTTGGGGGAGTTTGGAAGTTAGAAAGGTAAAAGGAATATGTTTCTGAGTTTGATTTTAGAGGTAGATCGGGTTCAGAATTTAAAAAAACTAGGGTAGAAGTTTACAAACCTGGCTACACATTTATAACCTAGTTGGGGGAGACTTTGTTGTTGTTGTTGTTTTTTAACATACAGGGTTTGAAATCATTATATTAAAATAAACACTGATGGTTTAATTTGTGTGCAGTGGGACCTGGGCAGCAGTTTTTCTTTCCATGCCTCAGGGAGATTCTGCACGTCCTGGATTGATACCTACTGGTTCGGGAACAGCTTGTTAAAAGGGGTCGAGGCAAAATTTAGCTTTAAGTTGCAGGAACAAGAATGTTAGTCAGTCATAAATGTAGAACTCTCCTCAGGTGATCTCTGTGGCAGACACTCAAAGTCAGGCAATTTGTATCAGAACTCAGGTGTAAGGAAGAAATACCTTACAGTAGACTAGTACTGAAAGTTTTTAAATGTCCAATTCGGAGGAGGAATTCCTGTCCTGGGCCAGTGATAACTCCATTGACCAAAGAAGGGTTTTTACTTTTCTAGGATCCCAAAGCACACATTATCTTTAAGACATGTTTATGTTGATTTTGTCCCTTATACTGAAACATACTTAAAATTTTCTTTGTCAAGATGTATGTTTTAGGGGTGCCTGGGTTGCTCAGTCGTTAAGTGTCTGCCTTCGGCTCAGGTCATGGTCCCAGGGTCCTGGAATCGAGCCCCGCATCGGGCTCCGTGCTCAGCGGGAAGCCTGCTTCTCCCTCTCCTACTCCCCCTGCTTGTGTTCCCTCTCTCGCTGTGTCTCTCTCTCTCAAATAAATAAAATCTTAAAAAAAAAAATGTATGTTTTAGTTTTTATCAGAGTTAAATAGTTGAGTAATCTAAATTAAGACTCAAAATGTCAGTCATATGCAAAATTTAAATATATTAAGTAAATATACTTCAGATATTGAAAAATGAAAGTATGGAGAAAATAGGCATTTTAAAGCTTTTATTAAAGTATAATATACATCCAGAACATATCTTAAGTGTTCAACAATCTTTACCAGAAGATGCTTATGTCCCAAGCACCCAGATCAAGAGGCAGAACCTTAGTAGGCCCCAAAGAAGCCTTGCATATGGCCCCTGCCGCTCCTGCCCCTCAAGGATAGCACTATCCTGACCTGCGTTACTTTTGCCTGTTTCTAAACTGCATTTAAATGAAATTATATTGGATATAATTTTGTGTCTGGCTTTTTTCACTCAGCATTATGTTGGCGAGATTCATCCGTATTGTTGCATATAAATGTAAATCATCTTCATTGCTATATCGTATTGTGTTATATGAATATGTCACAGTCTGTTTATTCTATTGTTGATGAATATTTGAGTAGTTCCCAGTTTGGGGTTATTATGAAGAATGCTGCTACCAACCTTTGAACACATGTTTTTGTTGAGCAGGCACATGTATTTCTTTTGGGTGTATATCTAGGAGTGAACCACCGGGTCATAGTTTGTGCACATATACAGCTTTAGTAGATTCTAAAATAGCAAACATTTTTAAAATTGGAAATCATATATAAGTATATGAGTTTACCCTTAAATACAAGGAATTACCCTTAAAAACAAGGAATAAGGCTCATTCTTAACTCAAGGTATGGCTTTAGCGATTTATTAATAAAACATTAGAACAAGGATTGGCGAACTTTCCCTGTAAAGGGCGGGATGGTAAACATTTTAGGCTGTGGGGGCCACATGGTCTTTGTTGCAGCTAGTTGGCTGTGTCCTTGCGATGCAGAGCAGCCACAGATGATACGGAAATGACCAAGTGTGGCTATGCTCCAGTAAAACGGTATTTATGGACACTGAAATTTGAATTTCATGTTTCATAAAATACTCTTTCTTTCAGCCACACAGAAGTATAAAAATCATTCTTAGCTTACAGGTCATACAAAACAGGTGGTGGGCCACATGGGGTCTGCAAGCTGCAGTTTGCTGACCCCTGCACTTGAACCTGTGCATCCAAATAATTGTTACCTTTTAAGTCACCTTGAGAGACTGATTTATTCTAGCAGGCTGCCACTGCTAAAGATGTCTTTTAACTCCTTGGAGCCTCTTTCAGAGCCAGTGTACAGCCTAAAAAAGAAATTAGTCTTGCTATTTTTTAGTCCTTCATTTTTGATTAAAAAAAAAAAATCTATAGGGATACCTGGGTGGCTCAGTCGGTTAGGCGGCTGCCTTCAGCCTGGGTCATGATCCCAGGGTCCTGGGATCGAGTCCCACATCGGGCTCCTTGCTCAGCGGGGAGCCTGCTTCTCCCTCTCTCTCCCTCTACTTGTGCTCTCTCTGTCAAATAAATAAAATCTTTAAAAAAAAAAAAATCTATTACTCCATTTCATTTACACACGTCATTCTAGTGAAATTGCTTTGAGTGACTTTTGGCTCCAAATAAACTCCAAGGGATAGAGATGTGCTATCACTGATAGGACCTTCAATAATGTGCCACAAGTTCTAAAGAAAATTCCAAAAGTGCTTTGAACAATGGCAGCATCCTTGGAATGAGGGTGTAGCTTCCCAGGGAGACTGGAAGGAGACAGCAATCATGTGGATGTATAAATTCCTGTATGTGTTTTTTTTTTAAAGATTTTATTTATTTATTTGACAGAGACACAGCAAGAGAGGGAACACAAGCAGGGGGAGTGGGAGAGGGAGAAGCAGGCTTCCCGCTGAGCAGGGAGCCCGATGTGGGGCTCGATCCCAGGACCCTGGGATCATGACCTGAGCCGAAGGCAGACGCTTAACGACTGAGCCACCCAGGCGCCCGTGTTTGTTTTTTAAGTCAGTCCCACATCAGTCACATTGTTTTTATCCTAAGGTAGATGACCTGTGGAAAAAGTTGCTAATTTAGAAGATCAGATGATCTGAATGTCTTTTGTGTTTGGTTCTTAAAGTCTATGATGTTCTTATTTATATCTTGCTCGTTATGTTGTTCTTAGGCCAGTATTAATATTATTTGATCTCTCTTTGGACGGCATAAAGCCCTGCCACGTATCACCATTGGTCAAAACCAGAAAACTACATACATGTGGTCAAAATTTGTTATAATAAAATTTACGTTAATATTTTATGATTTCTCTCAAGTAGTTGTTGGGTTCCCATAGTACTCTGTGTTTGACTCTGTTGGTAATTACTATATTGTGTTCAAATATTGATACACATAGGTTTGTTTCATGGAACCCTGCCACATTTAGCACCCCAAAAAATGTTTGTTAAACTAAAGCAATTATCTTGAAATACTGTTTCTTTCTACTTTTGCTCTGGAAACCCTAACTGGGTAATGATTATGGATATATCACTATAATTATTTCAAATTCCAGTAAAATATTTGATTAGGGAACTTATAACAGTTAACTAAAATGAGCTTGGGTATTTATTTTTGTGTAATTTGATCAAATTGATTTATTTTGTGTAATTTGATAATTATTCATTTTTCTGTAACTTGATTTATGTTTCATACAGTATCTATTACCAGTAAGTTTTGAGATTAGAAGGTTCTCTCTTTCCTTTAAAGAACTGCAATTACCCAAATGTTAAAAAAAAAAAAAGGTACAGAGTTATATAAATGTTTCTTCTATATGTTTTTCTCCTCCTGTAGTCCACCAATTGATGAGTTTGATGTATTTAAAGAATCAAAAGACCAAAATTTCTTTGAGTCGCAGGAATCCATCATTGCTTTGTGTACTCATCTACAAGAGGTGGTAACAGCCATCAGAGACCTAGATGAAAATCAGCTGAAAGATGAATTTTTCAAACTTCTTCAGGTAAATGTGATAATTGGTCTCCTGAGTATGTTTGTGTGTTTAAACGGTTAAAAAATAAAGTGGCATTGACTTAACAACAAAGCACGTGTATATATTGTCATTTAACTTATAATTGATCATTTTTTATCATTTTAGTAATGGTATTATTCAAGAGCTGAAAATCCACTTAATCTCTGAAAATGAGTTTTGAAATCTCTTCAGCTGGAGGTGATTTTTAGTGGCACAGGAGTCCTCTGGCTACATAGCCTCTGTCATTCTTGAGAGAATACTCCACAGTCATTTGGTCGGCCTAGCCTGACTCGGACTTAGATGCTGGTTCTGTCACTTATTTGTTGTTGGACCTGAGGGAGGTTACTTAATCTCTCCGTTAAATGAGGATGGCACTGTATACGTCGTCATTTGACGTGAGAATGAAAGTAGATTCAGTCGTGTCAGCGTGGAGCACCAGCCTGCTGTTATCATCAGGTGAAAACATCAGGTGGTCAGTGGCCTCTTTAATATGGTTTTATTGCATTTTTTCATCAGTCTTGCATTAAGTTTAGTTTTTAATTCTCATTCGAACACATCCTTAAGATGTGTTATAAGAACTATTTGAAGATGTGGGGTTTTATACAACAGTATCCCCAGCCCTCATCTCCCAGAAAAAGTTAGAAACATTTCCAGAAGAAGATGCTATTAGGAAATGCCATGAAGAGAGAGAAAGCAGGGCAGGGCAATGGGGATGTTGGGGGAGATGCAGGGGTGCAGTTTTAAGTGGGGCTGCCAGGGAAGGGCCTCAGAAAGTGTCAGGGAAAGAGGCAAAGCAGGCGAGGGAGTGGGTCACATGCAGGTCTGGGAGAGTGTTCCTGCCGGGGTACCTGAGGTGGGGGACTGGCAGGTGTGTGAGAGAAACTGCATGGGGATCCCGCAGGAAATGGGTGAGGTGAGGGGCCTGGAAGGGCCACGGAGGCCTAAGCAAAGGTAAGATTTCCATTTGTACTCACATTGCCACCACTGGGGAGCTATTAGAGCGTTTTCATCAGAGGAGTAACAAGGATGGACTTGTTTCAAGGATTACTTCTCAGGACACACTGAAGGGGTACAAGGCTAGACATTGGGGAAGTCTGTTATTAACATGACTCAGGGAGGGATGACTGGACCAAGAAGAGGTGTTAAAATTTGTCACCAGTATTCTGGAAATACTTTGAAAGTAGAGACTGCAGAATCCCTATGAAACTTTGAGGGCAAGCAGAGTAAGCTGCATGATTAAGAGGGAAAGGCTTATTTTGAGTTTGGAAGAAAAGTTGTCAGGGTATTGTTAAATAGTAAGCTTAGTTATTTCCCCCAGTTGGAACTATCCTTTATGCTTAGTTTAGAATTAAGAAAAGAAAAAAGAAAAGCGGTAACATGTCAGTCCTTACCTGTAGCTGGCCCATTGTTTCGGGGCACAGTCTTTGAGTATGTCTTTGTCCCATGAGTATAGTAAGTTGTGAAGAAGAAGGAATACCACTCTGTTTTCTGTCATCGAATGTGGCCAAGTAAAGGAGGCGAGAGTTGCCTTCCGTTAGTACTCATGATGACCAGCAGGTTAACTTCCTATAAGAAACCTGAAAGTATATTAGTTTGCAGGGAACGTTGATCTGTTTTTAGAAGCCAGGGAACACCCCCACTGTCCACACAAACATTTCAGCACCTGCTCTGTCAAACTGGATGCTGGGCCTGTGATGGCAGGGAAAACAGACAATCCTTGCTATCGTAGAACTTGTAATCTCAAGGGAATATAGACAAATATAGACAGAGTTGAGTTGGCACAACTCAACACGCAATTACAAACTGGAAGATGGTGTGAGGGAAACGTGCGGGCGGCGGACAGAGACCCTGATGTCAGCTGAGGGGTGCCGTGGCCCACAACGCTGTTTCTGCATCAGATGGACACTTACTATTTAAGCCTCATACTTAAAAACATCCATTCATCTGTCTTTTTTAAAAAATAATATTCTTAGAACGTGCATTTTCCTCTTATTTTGAATCACACGAGGTAGAGTCTGTTTTGGCTGATATTTATGGGGTATTGGGTGTGTTACTTAAACGTATTATGTCACCTCTCAGTAACTCTACAAGGTCAGTGCTGGTATTATGTCATTTTTCCATTGTGGGACCTGAGCCTTAGGGAGCATGTATACTTTACAATGGCTGTTAACTGGAAATGCTGGGATTTGAACCTACATTTGTCTGATTCTAGAGCCTGTAATCCTAAACATGTAATTTAATTATAGCTTAAAAGGGGGGCTATGTACCATTTTCTATAAAATAAACTTGAAGTATTATTTCAATTTAAAGTGGAGTAATAGATGATTGGATTTGGAGGGGTCTTTAGACATCATGTTGCCCAATTTCTTTATTTTTCAAGTAAGAGACCTAAATCCCAGAGAGTTTGCCTGGTCCTAATGTTATACAACTAGTAAAAGAAACTGAGCAGTTTGGGGAGGAATGTGAGGAGGGAAAAGGGAACTTACTTTTCTCTTGACTTTGGATTTTTAAGTAAACTTTGTAACCTCTTTTTACAGTGTGATCATATTCTAATATCTGCAAGATGCAAAATCATTCTGATTTAAGCCATACAGATCATTAACATCATTCAAACCAGTTTTTTAGAAAAATTATTACACAGTGACCAATTAAATATTTCATTGTCTTAACCCTGTTTATACATCATGATGGAAACACAGTCTTTGCATTATTAGAGAAGGTGTAGATCTGATGGATATTTTATACTAAACATGTTGTAGAAATGAATTTTATGAATTGTTTTAGCAACCTCTCCCCCCACATTTTACACAATAGAGTTTTTGTTGGTTATTCAAAACAAGGGTAAAAGTTTTATACTTTTTCTTTTTCAGATTTCACTGTGGGGGAATAAGTGTGATCTGTCTCTATCAGGCGGGGAAACCAGTTCTCAGAAAACCAACATAATGAGTTCTTTGGAGGAACTAAAACCTTTGATTTTAGTGAATGACATGGAACATCTTTGGTCGCTGCTTAACAACTGCAAGAAAACAAGAGGAAAAGCATCTATTATTACCAGAGTAGATATTGTTTTGGATAATGCTGGGTTTGAACTTGTTACGGATTTAGTTTTAGCTGACTTTTTGTTGTCCTCTCAACTGGCTACTGAGATCCATTTTTATGGAAAAACTATTCCGTGGTTTGTGTCTGATACTACTATCCGTGACTTTAACTGGTTAATTGAACAAGTGAAAGGGTCTAATCATAAGTGGATGTCCAAGTGTGGGGCTGACTGGGAAACCTACATTAAAGTGGGCAGATGGGTTTACCATGATCATATATTTTGGACTCTGCCTCATGAATTCTGCGTAATGTCTCAGGTTGCTCCTGACTTGTATGCTGAACTACAGAAGGCACATTTAATTTTATTCAAGGGTGATTTGAACTATAGGAAGTTGACAGGCGATAGGAAGTGGGAATTTACTGTTCCGTTTCATCAGGCTCTGCGCGGCTTCCATCCTGCCCCTCTCTGCAGCATACGAACCTTAAAAGCTGAGGTTCAGGTTGGGCTGCGGCCGGGGCAGGCTGAACAGTACATAGCCTCTGAGCCCAGCTGGCTGACCACTGGCAAGTATGGGGTATTTCAGTTTGATGGTCCACTCTGACTTGCTTTAGGAACTCTTTTAAGTTGTGTAGAGAGAGATGGCAGACACTTCGCGTCCCCAAAAGGAGTGTGTGATTTGAGTCCCATGGCTGCTTTGCATCAGCTCTGGGGAGCTTGGCTTCTCAGTGTTCATTTCCATACGCTCTGGATGCTTTCTCTTTGGGCATTTTGCCCCGCTACATTGTTTGGGCGATAGATGGATTGAGCTAGTTATAGATATTTATGTTTATGTTGGAATTTTAGTAATTTATTTCAAATTAAATGTATCATTTCAAGTGGTTTTAATGAACTTATTTTTAATTGGTCAGAAAGTAAAATATAAGAATTCTGCTTTTAAAGTTAGTTAACATTCTTTTGATGCTATGCTGCATGGTATTTAATATTCTAGGAAGCATGGGATTTTATTTAACTTGTTTTGAGGCTCTAGAAATAAGGGCTCTGTGAAGACGAACATCTTAAATGAAATAGGCTTTGAAAAGAGAGGCATTTCTTAGAACTGTGATACTTGAACAATGAAAGTAAAGATTACCTCGTAAGTTAATTCTAAATTTTGTTCTCCTTGAACTTTATTTCATTTTAAATAACCTGTTTAATTTGCACGCATTTGTATTTTGATTGACCTGTGCAATGGATAGCAGGAAACTCAAAATCAAACAGAATGAAACAAATGATATTTGAAGAACTGATACCCTTTACATTCTATTTGTGATATCCATAACCAACTGAAATATATTATTTTAGTACATAAGTGCTTTAAATGAACAGATTTTTAGATTGTTCTGCAGTTTTTAAAAAAATGCTTTAGATAGAAAAGATTCTTGTGCATTGAGATTGGAATACTAGGTTAATTTTTTATATACTTACCAATTTTTTGATGACCACTAGATATTAAAGGCTGTAAGTTTCAGTCAGTTTATTTTGAAACTGAAATCGGTAATAAACCTGGAAATGTTTTCTTGATGGTATAATAAAATGAATTGTACTGAAAATCTTTTTGGTTTTATTTTCCAGTGGGAGAAAGTCAAGAAGGGAAGATTAAATATGAGGTGTATGTAATAAAAAAACTGATAATGTATATTATACATGTTGCCAAAGCAGTTCTTAAATTATGTCACTTATAAATGAGGTTATGGTCTATGTCCTTGCTAAGTGTTTTTAAAAAGTTTTGTAAAATGTTTATATAAAGCTGCACATTTTGAATTTACGCTTATCTACATGTGTTCCTGTTTTAAACATTAAGTTACTAAAATAGTGAGCATATTAGAATTGTTTGTAGATACTTTCTAACATAAGTTAAAACACGACTGTATATGTATATTGACTTCATAGCCACAGTGTGGGCTATGGTGTAATATATTACATTTTCCAGAGAATGGATTTTTTTTTTTATCATTTTTTTTCCTTTTAAGATTTTATTTATTTATTTGAGAGAGAAAGAGAGAACACAAGCAGGGGCAGCGGCAGAGGGAAAAGCAGACTCCCCGCTGAGCAGGGAGCTTGACATGGGGCTCCATCCCAGGACCTGGGATGATGACCTGAGCTGAAAGCAGACGCCCAACTGATTAAGGCACCCAAGCGCTCTGTGTTTTTATCATGTTTTATTAAGAACATGAAATTAGGATTTGTGAAGAAATAGTTCACCCTCTCCTATAAAAGCAAGGAAGCAAATGAGCAAGCAAGAAAAGTAGCACGATGGGAGAGGAAGTCGGTTCAAGATGGAATTTTTAAAAAAATGCTTAGCAGGGGTAGGACCCACCTGTAGTTTAACCGGTTGGCTTTTTTTTTTTTTTTTTTAAGATTTTATTTATTTATTTGACAGAGAGATAGAGAGAGAGCTCAAGTAGGCAGAGTGGCAGGCAGAGGGAGAGGGAGAAGCAGGCTTCCCGCTTGGGAAGCCCGATGCGGGGCTCGATCCCAGGCCCCTGGGATCATGACCTGAGTCGAAGGCAGACGCTTAACCGACTGAGCCACCCAGGCGCCCCGGGTTGACTTTCTGTAATTGAACTTTAGTTGGCACACAATGTTACATTAGGTTCAAGTGTACAACATAGTGACTGGACGAGTCCATGCGTTATGCTGTGCTCAGCACGGGGGTAGCTGCCATCAGTCTCCAGGTGGCGCAATCACAATCCCACTCCCATTCACCCATTTTTTCCCATCACCAGCAATGCATGAGGTCTCGTTTCTCCATATCCTTGTCAGCACTTGTTATTACCTGTGTTTTTTATTATAGTGTACTACTGGGTGTGAAGGGGTATCTCATTGTGGTTTGGATTTGTATTTCCCTAATGACTAATGGTGAGCATATTAGAGCATATTTGCATGTGCTGATTGGCCATTTGTATATCTTCTTTGGAGAAACGTCTTTAATACCTTTGCCCATTTAAAAATTAGATTATCTTTTTATTATTGAGTTGAAGAGTGTCTATATATTCTGCATACATCTCATCAGATGAATAATTTGCAAATATTTTCTCCCATCCTGTGGCTTTTTTCTCTTTCGAATTTCTTTCTTCCTTTTTCTTTCTTTCTTTCTTTCTTCTGTCTTTTCACTTTCTTGATGGCATTGTTTACAGCACAAAAGTTTTCTATTTTGATGAAATCCTTTTACCTACTTTTTCTTTCATTGCAAAGCCTTGGTTTTTGAACTACTTTTTTTTTTTTTTAAGATTTTATTTATTTATTCATGAGAGAAAGGGAGAGAGAGAGGGAGAGAGAGAGAGAGAGAAGCAGAGGGAGAAGCAGGCTCCCAAGGAGCAGGGAGCCCGATGCGGGACTCGATCCCAGGACCCTGGGATCATGACCTGAGCCGAAGGCAGACGCTTAACCATCTGAGCCACCCAGGCGCCCTGAACTACTTCTTAACATCCCCTTCAGGGCCACTGAAGTGAGAGACAGAAACACCCAATGGTTAGGGCTCTGCCTACAGTCTGATGCTCTCCCACTTATTTCAACCCAGCAGGATTGGCCCTTCTTTGTTTGGCATAGCTCCAGAGTAGGATAATGGGGAAAGCTGAGGCTCTGGAGTCCACTGGGCGTGGGGTTGAGTGATCTTGGAGAAACTTTCCCAAAATAGCTCCTGCAATTGTTTCAACTGCAGATACCATACTTGGTTAAGTATGAAGTAACTCCTGGATAAAGCAGCCATTACATTTCATGCAATACATTTTTATCAAGACATAGATCCAGTATCTTATATATATTATGATGGAAATATGGAAGAAGGGCAGGTAAATAATTAGGGGAGGATGGTAGTTTATGGGTTTATGTTACTTTCTGATTAAACAGTTGAGGGGATCCAGCTTTTATTCCTGTAATTTGAGGCAGTATTTTGTGTTGGATAAAAGGCAGTAATGTTTTTGATTCTTTATCAGGCCCAAACCCGTGTTGTTCAACCTCAAGGTCATGTTTCTATAAAAGAAATAACCACCACAAAAGGCAATCTCAACATAGTTCAAACTCTTTATTTACATTTTATTTAAGAAAACTCCAGAGTGGATCAAAAACATAATTCAGAGTTAAAGTATAATTTACTTTTATTTAAGAGAACTCCAGAGTGGATCAAAAACATAATTCAGAGTTATACTTAAAATTAAAGTATAATTTACTATAAAATTAAAGTAAAAAAATTAAAATTCTCTCTCCCACCCATGTTTCTGACAGTTGTTTCTGCCCACACCCCCACTGAGTCTTGTTTTAGAGCCTCTCCCTCCATAAAACTTTTCTTCTCCTCTCTACTCTTTTTGTTTTCTTTTCTGAACTGGGGGTAGGTGTTGAGAAGACTGAACACTTCTACACATGCATGTCTTATAACCTGAATGAAGCGTTAATGTAATGTCTGCCATGGTAAGCAATCAGTGATATCTTGAAATTACAGAAAATGAATAAAGCAGAGGGAAAAAAAATGGGAAAAACAAGAACATAATCCTAGCAACTTCAAATACCCTTATTGCTTTTTATGTATGTATTTCTAAATTTTTCTCCATATTTAGACATTTTTTACGTGCCTAAGATAAAAAAGGATCCTACTGTCTGAAAAAAAATTTTTTTTTTAACCATGAAGTATTTTTTCCAACTCCTGAAGTTTTTGTCCGGTTAATTGGTTTCGTTGTTATTGTTGTTATTTTACTTTTTTCTAATTTGCTAATTAGTTCCTGCTGGAGGGATAGAAGTTTGTTGGAGATTTTGTTTTTGTTTTTTCCCTTGGGTAGCAGTATGGCCTGGGACTCATACATACTGGATTTCTAATCCCTGGTCTCCTGTGAATCATGTGACCTGTCACATTCTCACCATTTTACTGGAAAAAGAAAAGTTATTTCTAGTCAACTTGAACTATATTCGATCTCAAGTCCAGAGTCCCCTAGGAAAAGGAGTCATGCAGGGATATTAGCATTTTAGCACCCCCTAGTGGCCACCTGATATTCCGTAAAACCTGACCTTTTCCCTTCCTTGGTAATCTGCAGACAGGGAGATGCTGTTGTGAGTGGAGCATCAGGTTAAGCTAAACCATCCCTTAGAGACCACCATTCACATTGTTCTTCCTTTCCGATTTTCTTGGTGGGTCACATTCCCCCCTTCCAGTTTCTTTAATATCCACTCCATTTTCAGACCTTTTAGAAAATAAGAGGGAAAATCATTCATACAGAAGACATTTCTAAAGTGTTGAATCCCATTAATTGTATATTTCTTGGGGCAGCTACCCACTGTGGCTTCTGCATATTTGTCCCACACACGGTTGGGGCAATGAATGACTGATGGATAGGTGATGAATTTTAGCATTGGAAATAATTTTTTAAGCCTCTGACGTGATGCTATTTACATTGAAGTCTAAAGGATGAAATGGGTCTGTTAGCCTGATCAGTTAGATCAAACAGTACTTGTTGGATGAACAAGAAGTATATATTATATAATTGGGAGTTTTCCATAAATATATGCATTTTTGAATACTGCTTTATTCAATATTATATTGTGGTCAATTTCCCATAGTTAAAAATTCTTCAAAAATGTGATTTTTAAAATTTTTATTTAAATTCATTTTAGTTAACATATAGTGTATTATTAGTT